CAACTTAGGAGTTTACCTGAAATAGAAGGGCAATCACATAGTGTTCACACTTTTGACTCTGCTTAGTATGCGAAATGAACCTCAACATGTTTCTGGGGTTTTAGCTGTACCAGAGATTCATGTGCATTTCGGTAGAGGACATGTTCTCCAGACTTATCTCATGATGTATTATGCCCTTACATTTATAGCCCTGCATTTCAGTTGTCAATGGGGGCTGGAGGTGCCCAAGAAAGGGGAAAAAAAGAAAGCAGAAAAGAAAAGTATGCCCTTGAATTAAAAAAAAAAAAAGAAAGAAAGCTGGATATGAGTTAAATTGAGTTTTGTTTGGTATTAAATGTATGAACCTGATCCATTCTAATTTACATGTGCTCTGGCTAGTAAGCTTATTAAAGTACACATCAAGTTACCCTCAAAAGGCTACTTTTTACCTTCCCCTTTGATTTATGAGAGATGCAAAGACACCTGCTTAAGAGGGAGGAAAACTGAAAGTTTTGAAGTTCAGAAACAGGGATTTCCCCATCTACAATGATAAACATTAGCACTCATATGGAATATTTACTCTTAAGTAAAGAAGGATCAAACTGAAATATTTACTCCTCACAAAGGCTCTTTTTTTGTGAAAGTCCTAGATTACCAGAGCATAAGATTTCCTTAATCTGTTGCTGTTGACATGCATATTCATATTTATAACAGAAAAGCCCCAATACATAGTAAAATAAGAGAAAACATTTTGGTGTGGTTTTGTTTAGAGCAGGAGAAAAAGAATAGGTTATCCAAATTTCTTGGTGCTACTGTTTTGTTTTATTTTTACTTTTTCTTTTTTAATTGCCTTATGAAATGTTAAACAGCAAGACTGTATGACTCTAAGATAACGTTTTCTTGGGGTTCTGGGTCATTAACAATTAAAGTTATCAAGTAAATAAATAGAGTGCCACCAAATTCTCATACATACAAAGTACTATTCTTACATTATGCCTCTCATGGTGATCTTTTATGAACTTCCAGTGAAGTATTTGGAACTAAACCCAGAGGTTAATACTGCAGTATTGATCACTTAATTTACTGCCATCTTCCCATTTTGTGATAAAGTAATTAAACTATATTTTATAGGCCTCAAAATATCTTAGTTTCGAATTTCTTTTCTTTACAGATGGAATACACTGGTCACTAATGATTAGATTACTAGACTATTGATTCTAAAGCATATGAAAGTCACATGGCAAAAATTTTAGTCACCATAATTGTAATGCTTCTTTAACAAGTAGGTGGAAAGGTATTGGAGTAGGCTGGGGGCTTGCAATTCTAAAACAGGTGGAGAAGTGAAGCAGATGTGTCTGTTTTCTTTTGTATTTTAAAGTTGTCCTCTTTGATAATACTTAACATTTCAGGGAAAGAGGCTCTAATTATGATTATGTTCTAAGCAATTAAAAAATAATATTGATAACGAAACAATCCCTTCATAATCTGTGCATAAACTTGCATACACATTATGTACATCTCACACTTCCAATATTTTGCACTGGCTCAGATGAAATTATTGCAGAACTCACAAATGATATGACACTGTTTACTATAAATCCCGTTATGAAAGATTCAATTTACATCAATCAGATGCTAGCTACTAAGCGATTGTAAGTATTTGAATTTTATCCCACTTCACTGTTCAACGTACAGAAATTGCATCTGTGTGTTTGATCTGTCCTGCTGAGCACTATCAGCGGCTTGCATCTCTGCCACTATTGTTTTTAAAATGGCAGGAAGGACGTGACTAGTCAAGAGCACTCAGCAGGATGGATTTCACATGGCAGAAGAACAGCCAGAATTGTCCTTGAGGAAAAAAAAAAAATACACAATCACGTAGTCATCTAATTCAAGCAGTCTTCATACTTTGATGGAATTATCAAAATTATTCATCAGTGAATCTGCATTTAAACTCTGTGCAGTGGAAATATTCCGAGCCTATCACCACCGAGCCATCCAGTAGAGCTGCCATTAGTGCTGAGCAGTCTGGTCAGCCTTTGAGGTGGCAGAGAGCCAGGGATATCATTGGCTCCACCTGCTCCTGACCATCTCGCTGGACTGGATGAACTGAAGATTATCTTCAGAGTAGTTCTAGAAGTGTTCTGTGGCTTAACATGAAAGGGCAGCCACGCTGAAACTTTATTTTCTTCACTCTTGACTTTTCTGATTCAGATCTGTGATTATTACTAACTTGCATAAACATCACAGCCTGGCCTCTCCTGTGTTTCTTTTAGTTAGTAAATACTACTTCCACATAGCCTGACCTTTAAGATTGCTGTCATTTTGGAATGGATCCATAAAGGGAGAAATCATTCCTTTTTAATAGATCGAATAAAACTGCATGGAGAGGGACCAACCGTATAGCTTTCTTCAGGTCAGGGAGTGGCAAAACCCAGATACAACTTAAAAGTTCCTAGTTTTTTGGTTGGTTATGACCAGAGATATCACAAAGTTATCAGGATCAAGCTTATTGAAGAGC